AAAACCAGCACCAGTGGCAACTGGAACAAGAAATGAAACAAGAAGAACGAGAAAAGAAACAGGAAGAAAGACTCCAACAGTTGAGAGAAAGCCAGCACACACAAATGGAAAATATTAGTAAATTTCATTAAAAGATGATTTACTGCCTTTTACACAAGGAGGATATATTAGCCATGGACCTAATCAGCCCCAGACAATGTGAAGCCCCTTCCAGACCCTGCAGCTAAACCCTAATGCAGACATCTTCAGTCCTGCCAGAAGTCACATCCCAGATATGAGTGTCAGCAATAGGGGTGATCTAGTACGAAAGAAGCCACAGGAATTCGATGGGAAGGCACCATGGGAAGCATATAGAGCACAATTTGAGCTCCTGGCAGAAATGAATGGATGGACAGAGGAGCAGAAAGCATTGTACCTTGCAACGAGCCTGAAGGGACAACCACTGGAAATACTTGGACAGTAGTCAGCAGATGACAGACACAAATATAGAGCACTGGTAGCTGCTCTAGAACTCATGTATGGAACTCAAAATCAGTCGAAAGTCTACAGGGCTAGGTTTAGGACGAGAGTCCGTGCTAAAGGGGAGAGCCTACAAAAGCTGGCATAGGATTTGGAAAGTATGGCACACAAGGCCTTCCCAATTGCACCACCCAATGTCCTCAAGCTGTAGCTGAGAGATCAGTTTGTAGAGGCCTTGGACAGTCCACAACGGAAGATACAAGAGAAGCAAGCACACCCCTCTACTATGCAAGATGCAATGGCCAGAGCTCTTGAATTCGAATCCTACATTAAGTCCAGCACAGAGGTACTGAGGTTGGTACAGTCATCAGGATTGAAGACAAGAAAAGGGCAGCTTTCAGAGAGGTTTGAGGGACTTTGCTGGCACTGTTAGAAACCTGGGCACAAGAGAGCTCAATGCTGGCAACTCCAACACAGGGAAGGTGCCATGGCAGGAAAGGCTGCTACCCAGAGAGGTTGTTGGAACTGTGGAGAGCAAGGACATATAAATGTGAGCATTGTTGGATGTGTGCCAGGAGGTAGAGCCAGTTAATGTTAAGGCAAGAAATACGACCATAAAGAAAGGACGTCCTCTCCCAGAACATTTAACTGACCTCTATAAGAAGAGTATAGTCCATTTGTCATCATCACAGGCTCTTCAGGTTAGGGAACTTTTGGCGAATTATGCAGACACCTTTTCGAAAAAAGATCAAGAGCTTGGCTGCACAGGCCTTGTAGTGCACAGAATAAACACATGCAATCACCGTCCAATAAAGATCCCTTTGAGGAGAATAGCTCTAGCAAAGCGACAAGAGATGGATAAGGTCATGGATGGCCTAATTAAGGAAGGGATAGTCGAGAAATCAGATATTCCCTGGTTAGCTCCTGTCGTGTTAGTCCAGAAGAAGGATGGGACCCAACATTGCTGTGTGGACTTCAGAGCTCTTAACAGTATAACCGAAAAATACTCATACCCACTGCCAAGAATTGATGATACTTTTGATGGATAAGGTCATGGATGGCTTAATTAAGGAAGGGATAGTCGAGAAATCAGATATTCCCTGGTTAGCTCCTGTCGT